ATATACACACAGCAGTTGACGCGACATCATGCTTGTTAATAATAAGACTCTCAGATGCTAGAGCATGCGCAGTTGTGTGCAAAATATCATAGCATGAAACTCGAAATCCATAAGCATTTTGAGCCACATTTTTTAGGAGAGGGTAGGAGTTAGGCCTCAGGTTGGCTGTTGGTCGATTTGGCAAATTAGAAAAAATTAAATTGTGATCGTTTTTTCCGTGCGGATGACTGTCTATCCCTAAATCTCTCCAATCGGGGTTGATCGAAAATTGATCGAACTGCGATAGAAATGCATTTGTCAAAGTCCGTACGACGTTAGCAGAGGTCTAAGCAAGGACAACTCTAACGCACGCACGGGGACCCCGGACGGTCCAGAGAGCAACTATTTACGTACATACCTTATTCAAACATCTTTACCATTCGCACAGCCAGTCAAGGGGAGATTCAATACTAGGCTCAAAATCATTTATCCTAGAGAAAGAGTAGTGGTTCGCATGACGTTAGTAGAAGTCTAAGCAAGGACAACTCTGACGCAGACGGGGATCCCGGACGATCCAAAGAGCAACTATTTACGTACATACCTTATTCAAACATCTTTACCATTTGCACAGCTAGCCAAGAAGAGATCCAATACCGGGTCCAAGTGATCTATCCTAAAGAAAGCGTAGTAGTCCGCATGACGTTAGCAGAAGTCTAAGCAAGGACAACTCTAACGCACTCGGGGACCCCGGACGGTCCAAAGAGCAACTATTTACGTACATACCTTATCCAGACATCTTTACTGACTGCACGGCCAGTCAAGGAGAGATCCGGTACTGAGCTCAAAGTAATCCATCCTAGAGAAAGAGTAGTGGTCCGTATGACGTTAGCAGAAGTCTAAGCAAGGACAACTCTAACCCACACGGGGACCCCGGACGGTCCAAGGAGCAACTATTTACGTACATACCTTGTCAAGAGTAGATAAATCGCGTCTGGCAGGATAGAGCGGAAGAAATAGGAATCGCAATGGAAAAGCCTGATAGAGGTAGTGGTTGTGAGGAAACAATGTTGACTCCACGTGGATGTGGTGGAGGAAGGAAGGAGGGAAAGGATGGGAAAGGACGGGTGGGGGTAGTGCTCATATATACCAATTTCGTGAGCCCTAACTTGGAGGCACTTGGTGGAAAGTGGTAGGGAGAAGGGCAATCTAAATTGACTTACTTTTCATAAGAATCTGATGATATCAGATATCTCTGCGAAATGGGCATTAGGGCACTACAGCTTGTTTGTTCACAGAACATCACTCGATATATTTCAGGGTTGGCTTGTGGATCCAGTGATTGTCGATGATATGATACCAGCGCAAAAAGCTCGGCCCTTGGCGATAGCATGGGGGATTTTCTAGAGTCTGGAATTAGGATTGCAACTACAGGAGCGGCGAGATGAAAAGGAGGTTCGGCAGAGAGAATAGTTTTGTCAGCTAGATGTTCTAGTAAGGCGAACTCCACCCCCTTGTTTACTATAGTGACGCATTGCCTTGAGCGGTGTTCTTGTGAGCTATGGGGATTGTGCCAGTATTCTTCTGTTACACATCTATCAATGTATCATACCGGTGCCTAACAGGCTTCTGTCACACATGTGCAATCCTCGACCCCCCCCCCCACCAATTCCTAATAACCTCACATGCAACCCTACCAATTTTCATCGGAATCATCACTGGCGTTCACACTGTGGCCATTCCGTTATTTTTGCGGTTAGTGTTTACAATCTTTCTCCCTTTGAGGATGTACCTTCTCCCATCATATAATACATTCAACCTTTAATAACACAATATCATCACCCCTAACTCCATGCGAAACAGCAATAATGAAAAACCGAATATACCCACCAACAGCATAATTATCCGTTCCCACGGTAACACTGCATAATGCCCAGCTGCCCCGGTGGCTAAGGCGTCAAGAACGAATTAACCCCAGCGCAATTAGCAGGAGCCCAGGAACTCGATTCCCCCACACAGAGTTTATTGTTGAACAATCAATTGCGTAGGAAATATCATAGAAGCTACAAATCCTACCTTGCGACTAAGAGATCGGCACTAGCCATCCTTAATTATGCAGTGGAAAAAATGGCTCCTGTCACAAAGTGGTAGAATTCGACCCTTCACCATACACAGAGGGGGAGGCCAACATCACGAAAAGAGCAGAGCCAAAGCAAGAACCAAAGACAAATCCAAAAAAAAAAATTGCATCCTAGCTCTAGAGCAGCAAGCAAGCTTATATCCCGAACACCATACAAACCCTCCAGTCCGAAGGTGACAGGATTGGTCTGCGAGGGCGCGAAATTTACCATCAAGCCACCATTTCACCACCTCAAAATTGCTGGCTTTGTGAACACTATAATAGTCCCTCAAGGGACCCAGGCATGAATAGTCTAACAGTAAAGGGTGTAAGATTCGTCCGACGGCGCAATGGCTGCAGCGGAGCTCGAATTTGTCCAGGAATTCCATCAACGAAGTGAAGGATGGGTAATACCTTTCTTTACATGCTACGGCGGTGCCACCACTCATTGGCAGAAAAGGGTTGGCAAAACTATTACCTTGCCCGATAAGCGAGATCTCATGTGACACACTGGTAGTTTGAAAATGCCCGGGGAGTGTTGCTTACGGTATCATACTGGGGTGAAGCTATCATACCTGGTCCTCGGGAGTTGCTTCGGAGTAGGATAACTCTAATCCCCATCCTATCGCTAGGGACCATGTCTCCGCATGCTAATCTCACTGCTTCATTCTTAAGATAAAACCGTCACTCATCATTGAGCGCAGCTTATGCCCTATCGGGGTGGAAAACACTAGCAGATAAAAATAAAACTATCATAATTATTATATCCACATGAGTACAGTACAGCATTCTTTCCGTCCAAGAAATCCTTAATTAATCCAGCGCTGGCGCTCGTGAAAGGTCCATGTCCGCGCCTTAGACATACTACCTTCCGGAGGGAAGACATGATACCCTGGTACAAACCCTTACAGCGTTTCACCAGCCGCACTATGTATAAAGCCTCCAAATTCACTTCTCTAATATCCCTTCTTGGGGACATGAGGAAGAAAGCTAACATCAGGAAAGGGAAAAATAGGTACATCAATAACGGCTCTCCTCCACACTCTTCTCCCAATGGGCAATTGAACTTGGAAGCCTGGGAAAAGCAAGTCTGTCAGACCTATCTCCAGCGGTAAAGTATCATCCCGTCCTAACCCGTATCTACAAAGCTTGAAGGGGAAGAAAGAGAGAAAAAGAATAACGGAAAAAACAAATAAAACGGACTGAAACAGCGAGAATTCAGAGCCCGGAAGCAATACCCGGCATGCTAAATTCGCCAAAATGAGACCAGTAACCACAACAAGAATGCCATGATAAACAAGGCTGCGGGGGGCAGGGTTCGGAGCGGTCACCGACTCCACCGTATATCCGGCAGCCCAAAGTCGGCAGCTTGTCATAAAACGATGGCAAATATAACAGGAGTATATAATACCACAATCCACAAATTGATAATCCCACCCGGGCATTGCGCCATACTTCCGGATCGGCGTTGGAAGTATTAGCGGTACGCACGGTGCGCCGTCGCCTAACAGGGAAATTCGAGGACGTCAGCGAGCTCACAGTGTAGAGAGGATGATCCACTGTGATACCAGGTGATTCATGTGGAACCTCTCCTACCAGAACCGGACCTCGTGGGAGATCCCGTGATACCACGCGAGGGACCATACATCGCGACCTCCGTGGTGGGTATGGATCGAGTGAAATCTCGTGATTGAATATTAGGAGGCTACGACAGCATAGCATTCGTCCGGCCGGCGGAAGAGGGCATGACAAGCAATAAAGCGGAGTAATGTACGAGCGGTGAGTTCATTGCAGTGTCGTCGTAGACAGTACTTAAAGCCCCGCTAAATCATCTCATTCCATCCCAACCACTATATTATCGTATGATACAACACAAATTTAATCACCAACCCACAAAAAAAACGAAGAAAAAAGGAGTCACCAAACAAAGCCAACTAACAAGAACCTCCACTCCCACCTCTACACCCCCTCCCTCTAATACTCCTCATCCTCATCCTCCATATCCTCCCCGTCACTATCCCCTTCCCTAAACACCCAAATAGACCTCTCCCCCTCCGGCCCGTACGCATGATCGAACTCGAGCCAGAATGGCTCTGTCTCCACACCCCGCTCCTCGGCCAGCTTGTCCATCCAGCGCTTCACGTCGAACGCGATTGCCCTCTCGCGCTGCTGGACTTGGCTATTATCCGGGTCGTCCGGCACGTTGTCGATTTCAAAGAATATGCCGATGTTGCCTTGCGTGGCTTTCGGGGGGATTGACCCCTTGCTGCTGTTGCTGTCCTCAGTGGAGACGAGGCGGTTGTATGAATCTGAAGTTCGGAGGTGGGAGAAGCTGGCGCGGAGTTGGGTGATGGGGCAGGTAGTGAGCTTTGTTATGTTGGTTGTTTGGTTGGCTTTTGGTGGTGGGGTGTCGAGTGAGGCTAGTCTGGGTTTCTTGGGCTGTTGTTGCTGGAGGATGGAAGGGGGAGAAATATGGGGTTTGCTATGCCGCGGTTCCGGTTCTACAGGTTCGGGACTGGGTCCCTGATCAACTTGACCCGATAATGCAGCCGTCGCTTTCAGGAACCTATTCTTATGCGGCGACCTTGAAGGCTGGGCCCGCACAAAGTCTGGATCGTCATCGTATCCTGGCGGCGGCTCATCGTAATCGACCTCTCGGTCGTCGTTTAATCTCCGCCGTTTGGGCTGTTGGTCCCGAACAACCCTCGGGACGCTCTCCGAGGATGGCTTTTGATGTCCCCCTCTCTGCGGCCCCTCATCATCGTCTATATCTTCGTCGTAGTCTTCGTTTATTGGTTTTCTGTGCACTACCGATGGCGCGGCATTTTGTGGACTCTGCCGGGGCGCTTTCTTAAGCCAACTCTGCATGATTTCCGTATCACCTTGGGGAAACGACGGCGATGAACTATTTGGAGTTGGGGGCATTGTGATCATCCGTCGCGAGGACGATACAGGAGTCACAGAGTAATGAAGAGACGGTGGAGGACCAAATTGAGGGGACGATCTAAGATTGCGCGGTGGATCAATGACGGTTGGGGGACGAAAGGTTCGTTTAGTCACGCTGAGACCCACCGCCGGTGAGAAGGGCTGGTTAGATCCTGATGCGGGGGAGTTCATCTTCGCAGCGGTCCAGGGGTTCGAGATGGCAATATCTCTGGCAGCTGCCTCATCAGCCTGTTCCTCAGCAAGGTCACTCCGGACCTGCCTTTCCACCTCGTCCAAAACTAGATCACTCTCGTCTTCGTCGTAGCCCGAAGACATATTAAAGCCCCAGTTTGTCGGCCTCCTTCTGGGCGTTTGTACCATCTGAGCAAGTGGCGCAGCTGGGGGGGTAGGCTCTTGATTGAGCTCCCCAGGGCGTACTGATCCAGGGGAGGGCGCATCCGTTATAGAAAACATTGGGGGTCGCACGCTGCCATCCCTATTGTGTGACCTATGAGGGCTTTCTTCCCGTGTCTGTACAGGCGGTGCTTTTCCTGGATTGGCAGGTGTGAGTCCCGCTGCGGGAGGATCCTCATCAAGCTCCATCATCATATTCACCTGTTGTGCTGCCATTTCTTCCTCATCCTCATCTATCTCAGGAGCTTCTGGGGGTTTAGTCGTGCCAGGCTTCGGGTCTCTCTTCCTAGCAAGCAAAAGCTCAAAACCACCTGTCATCATTTCTACGCTCTTCCCCTTCCCTCCAGATCCACCAGGACTGCTCTTAGTCTTTAGTTCTCCATATAAGCCCTTGAAAATCACCTCTACAGCTCCGATAACCCGGTCCGCGTGAAAGAACATGACGTCGTCCTTGGCCGGCTCAATATTCGGATCGTAGGCCCCAGGAGGACAACGCAGGTTAAGATAGAGGAAAGGATCAGATATGGCAGAATCGGGTAATGCAGACTTAAGGTAAGATTTATACAACGACAAGATTTGCTTCAGAGTGCCCCGAGCGCACGATACCGGCCGACTGTCCACAAAAACAAAATTCGTACATTGCGGCTTCCTACATATGATTGCGGGATCTGAACCGGGCTTCGGCATAAAGGCTTCTATGCCGATTTTCTGCTCTCCCGAACCGTCCGTGACCTCTTCATGCTCGGTATTTATCCATTGACAAGTAGCGACGATCTCTTTTCCAACAGCTTTCATAACCGCCTCCGAAACCGACTTGCTCGGGGCATATACGATATCCTCGCTCTGCCCACCCGCTGCCTTGCTTTTCTGCGGTGGTGCCAGTACCCTCAATGAGAACCGGCAAGCTGGATGTGAAAGGTAATACCTTTGCAACAGTGTCCTCACTTTGGATAAGCTCTTTTGCGCACCCTTGATGGCGTTCTACCCCACCGCACTACATTAGCCAGCGCTATCTCCCGAAACCCTCCCGCTAATAGCAACAGCAAGGGCAACAGTACCTCCCGTCTTACAGGCAAAAACTTAAAAAAATCCGTAACCCGCACAGTAGTCCCCTTCATAGCACCAACCGGTTTCCTCGCGGTAACCTTACCCACCCGGTCACAAGTGCAAGCCATTGCAACCTTCTCCCCCTCAACCATAGTAGTGATGACCAGCCCGCCCGCCAATTCCGCAGCACTAGCCAGGGCCTCCCCCCGGAACCCCAGACTGCGGCAGTCCTGGATTTCTTCGAAGTCCGTGATCTTGCTCGTGCAGTGCCGCATCGCCACGAATTCGCGATCCTCGGTGGGGATGCCGTGGCCGTTGTCCTTGACCTGGAGGACGTCGAGGGTGTTCTGGGAGACTTCGATGGAAATTGCAGTCGCTAAGGCGTCGAGCGAGTTGTCAAGGAGTTCTTTTATCAGTGAGACCGGGTCCGTTAGTACCTGGCCCGAGCCAAGAGCTCGGACGGCGGTGTCGGGGAGGGCTTGGATTCCCATGTTTGATTTCCCCCCACCTCTCCCTTATGGACAGCGTACTCTCGCCTATGCAAATCCGTTGTCGAATGAAGGGTTCGTGATAAAAGGCGTCACGGTCTGGGTTGTGTGACGGGTGTTCGATTTGGTGGGATCCCCCGTTGATGGGAAGACGCGGTTGAGGGTACAGTAACGCAGATGATCGCCCGCCGTCACGTGATAAGCATCACGTGACTGCTGTGATGCGTTATTGCTTCAACATCCCTTCACCAAAATTCATTTATCATACAAGGGTCAGGCATAGAAAAGGGGTGCGGAGTCCGGGGTAAACGTACTCGAGTGTGCTGCAACCAGCCAGTCTGGAAACCATAATCTCTTGACAGATACAAGTGAGCTGGAGGCCAGTTACTTCATCCGCCGATCACATCTCCTCAGAATCGGCCGAGGTAAGAGGAAATTGAGATCCTATCAGAGTCATGTTTCCCAGGTATGCAACTTCTACCGAAAATTTAGTTACGCACTGTGAGAGAGACTGTGGATATGGTGTCGAGAGGGGCGTTGTTCTTCTCGGGATGCGGTAGAGACCAGCGGGCTCAAAGACATGATGAAGACCCACTCCACGCCTCTCATATTGAGAACAGGTCCAGCACCTAATCCTACCGCAGAGGATCATAAATCGGAGTGAGAAACCAATCCCTGAAACGTAAGTGATAACCACAAGCACCACGCCACAAGCACTTGTATCAACTGGACCCTGGCAAAAGCATAATGTTATCACACTCAGATATCCGCCATTAAAAGCTAGAGCAGCTCATGCAAGAGTGTACTCGAGTACTAACTAGTACTCGTACAGTTTCCGGTTCCTCCAAAACATCCCTAAGTCTCTCCGACCCACCCCCCCTACCCTCCCATTGATACATCCCCGCATCTCCACACTCGACCAACTGCCAACCTCACCACCCCAATCAAGTTATCATAATATTATCATATCATATCCACACGTGAGCGACACCCGTCAACCTTGGGCCCAAAACACATACCCAAACATTTTTCCTTCACCAGGATACCCTAGTATTATAATAATACTATGATACTTCTATGCGCTATTATTTTCCCCTGTGCTAACAAAACACTAAAGCAAACCACCTGAATGCCGCTAAGGTGTAACCTCACAAATGCAATTCTTACTTCCAGAACATCGCCGAAAAAAACCCATACATTCTAGTGCCGTGCCGCACCTTACACCCTAAGTAACTCTACTCCAAGGCAACCATGTATCTCAACGAGTGACACACCATGACCGTCATAACCCCCCCTAGATATGATATACCGCTAACTATGGTACCCAGGCAACGCCTAAGAACATTCCTTTCACACCCGGGCCCTGAAGGCCAAGCGCTGATAAATGACCCGGGAGAACGGCCAGAAATGAAAACTGGCTGATGAGCGACGTAGCCAGCTCTGGATTACAGTTGTACGGGGTGATGGACTACTTCCATTACGATCTGCATGTAGTCCTGTGTCTAGATTTACACGGCACGGTACCGCCGAGTCCTTGTCAGGCTTCACCTCCACTGCTGCCTGGGTACTGCGATGTGCCCTTGCTCATTCCGCTGCGTTACCGCCGCTATAGGCTTCGGTGTCCCTGAAAGCGGCGTCAAAGCTGGCTCTGTGTTTGTAAGACTGATATCACAGTTGGTTGGGGCACCTAAGGGTTTTGTCGGGTATTGCGAGCCAGGTGGGCAGGGCTCGGTCGATACATTGGTGTAATCACATACCGTGGGTGACGAGCTATGCGCTACTCCCTTCATCTCAAGATATCTCGTGAGTGTACTAACGGAACTCTCGAACTTTTTCTCTCTTTAGATGACCTTTCCTTCAGAGTTTCACCAGGGGCTGTATCCTCCGCAGGTACTACTCCCAAACACCTCGAGTCACTCACTTATCACCATCGCATCAGCTCCGCATCGCAAACCTCCACAGCGCAAGCGATAGTTCAGAAAGCATACTTTGTCCATTCAATAAGAGTAGCTACCTGTATCTACCTACCTACAGACTACCTACCATACTTTATCCCCCCCCCAACTGATTACGTA